ACATATACTGTAGTACAGGGGTTGGCGAACCTGTTTGGCATAAGGAGCCAAAAAACAAACTTTATCACTGCAAAGAGCCACACATATGCAAACAACAGTATATCACAATAACTTATCCACCTAATTACATAACACAACAGTTTTAATGGATTTAAATCAGCCTACCTCCTTTTACTTGACTCAGTGGGACACCTGACAGTCCTTGGTTTCCACAATCTTTTTTAGGTCTGGCTTGTATTCAGTTGTGGCTACTCGTAGTAACTCTTTCACATGTGTGTCAGTAAGAACAGAGCGATGCTTTGATTTCACTTGTTTTAGTGTCGAAAAAAGTGATTCACAGATGTAAGTTGACCCAAACATTGACAGTAGTTTGAGTGCAGCCCGTTTGACATTGGGATATCTCTCAACCGGCACGATCTTCCAAAACTCCACGGTTCCTTCCCTCAGAACACTTTTAAGTCTGTCATCCTCAGAAAGTTCGATCATTTCAAGCTGAGATGCTGCTTCATCTTCCACTAAAGGGGCTTTTAAACAGTCTGATTCAGCAGTGAACGGGTTGATCAGAAATGTAATCTGTGGTCTTTTTTGCCGTAGGTTGGAGAATTTGTCCTCAAAACTTTGCTCAAGATTTTCAAGCAGTGTTACATACTGTGCAGTACTCCCTTTTACAACCTCTGCTGCTTGTCCACTTGCCTTCAACAAGTACGGAAAATGTGTGAAGTCTCTCTTTTGAAGATGTGTCTTGAACAGCTTGAGTTTGTTGATAAATGTGAAAACACTCTGCACCAGGTCAGGCAGCGTCTTTAACTTCCCTTGCAGATCCACATTCAGTCCATTTAGATAATGCAGCATGTCGACTAAAAAAGCCAAATCTGAAATCCACTGGGGATCATGTAGCTCAGGATAGTCCCTATGTTTCTCTGCAAGGAACAGCTTCACTGGATTCAAAAGCTCAAAGAAACGAGAAACCACATTACCTCTTGAAAGCCATCTCACAGCGCAGTGAAGAAGCAGATCAGATGGAAGATCTTCATCAAGTTCATCAATGAGATTTTTGAACTGTCTGTGATTGAGAGCATGTGTGCGTATAAAATTGACAATTTCCAGCACAGGTTTCATGATGTGGTCTAAGTTCAGCTTTTTAGACACCAAGTGCTCTTGATGGATAATACAGTGAAATGTCCAAAATTCTGGAAAACGATCATCAGCTTTACACAGCCCTATAAGACCTTTCTCAGATCCCAACATGGCTGGAGCTCTGTCCGTGGCTATTGCTGTTAGTTTTGACAACTGCAGATTTGCTTTCTCAACAACAGCCATCAGTGTCTCTTTCAGATCGATGCCACGAGTTCTGTCTTTCAGCGGCACAATGTCAAGCAGCTCTTCCTTAATTGTGCAGTCTTCTGACATAAACCGTACAAATAATGCCAATTGTGGCTTATCTTGAACATCGCAAGACTCATCCAACGCAATGCTGAAATACCGGCACTTCTGAAGATCTGATAATAAATGTGTTTCTACTGAATTGTCAATGTCCGATATTCTCTGTTCAACAGTGTGCCGTGACAGTTGAAGGTCCTTTACTGAACGTTTCAAATTTTCATTTTCGGGACAAAGAATAGCAACAGCATCACTGAGGCAATTTTTAACAAATTCCCCTTCAAGGTATGGCTTTTTTGCACGAGCAATTTTCCCATGCTAGCTGATATGACGCTAATGT